TCAAATAGTTTAAAAAAGGTAAAAAAACTGACGCTCATAAGCGGCAGTGATACCGATTTTACCAAGGTCTGTACGTCGTAGAAAAAAGTATTTCAAATAAAAAATGTAGCTGAGATAATTTTGAATGGAAATATTTATTAGTACTTTTTGTATAAAATGAACCGTCTTTCAGAAACAATACTTGAAGCGACCCGCGATTTTTAATGCCACCTACAGGCGCGAAGTCAAAGCTGTAGCCATGTATAAGAAAAAGTGTTTTCCCCTTCTTCCCTTTCATTACGACTTTGCACCAAAATAAATTGGTTTAAAGTTACTCAAGCAAGGAAATAAAAAAAATCGATGTTTTTATAAATTTTTAATATTCTAATTTATTTATTAATATTACCGACCTGTTTCAGAGGGAAAGTAAGTCGATTATTATTACTGAAGTTATCACACAACTTTTTCTGCAAAAATCCGAATGCCTTTCAATGTACTATTTGTAACGCATTTCAAGAAGAAAAAAGAATTGCTAACAAAGTTTTTAACAAAAAAATAATGATAAAAAATTAAAAGTAACCAAGAAACTTCACAAAATTAAAGAAAGAAAACAACAAAACACCACAAGCAATTCAGAACCACTCACAAGCAGAGATTTAAAGATAACAACAATACCATATCCGAAAAAATACAGTAGGAAATAAGTACCGTTCACGGTATAAAAAACTGGTAGGGGAAGTGTGCCTATGTTGGACCCCTGCCTATGACGGACCCCCGGCTGTAATTTTAAATAACGCGCGGTTACATACACATCGCCGGTTGCCGCTTGGGCACGAAGTTTGTAGTTTAGTATTTGCAAAGTTTCAGACACGTGGCTGTTATAACAGTAAATTTGTGAAATAAAATTAAAATTTGGCGTTGCTGATCTAATAAATTTTTTTGGTAAGTAGCATTTTACTGGTAACATACGTTAAGCTAAGTGTTGCTTTTGTTTTGTATAAAATGACTACACTTTCTTTGTCAAATACTATACTTTGTTTTAGGTTAAAATGGTCAAAACAAAAGTAACAGAATTAAATTTGCTGCCTTGTCTATTTGCCTATGATGGACCCCTGTGTCGTTACCTATGACGGACTAGGGGTCCATCATAGGAAAAAGAAAATAAAATTGGACACACCTTCAGTTTTTGTTACTTAATGATTAACATAATATGTTTTACAGGGATGGCTCTACAAAAAAGGCAACAATGGAACGAGAGTAATATGCAACAAGCTTTAAAAAGCATACAAGAAAAAACTATGGAGTTTAAGCTGGCAGCAAAAACATTTAACGTTCCAAAAACGACTTTGAAAAGGCGCTTTATTAAGCATCAAGGAAGTATCAAAGGTGATTTGGGAGGACGAAGACCAATATTCTCCACTACTATTGAACAGGAAGTTGCTGACCATATTATTACTATGGAAACTCGTTTTTTTGGCCTGACTAGTAAAGATTTGCGAAAACTTGTATACGAAGTAGCTGAAAGAAACAATATTAGCCACAATTTTAATAAGGAAACCAGGATGGCAGGCTGGAAATGGGTCAGAGGCTTTTTAAAGCGAAATCCTCGAATATCATTACGCACTCCAGAAAATACTTCGTTGGCAAGGGCTCAAGCTTTTAATAAACCAAATATATGTGCCTATTATACTGCATTAGCAAATATATTAGACGAGTTTCACTTTCCACCGGAAAACATTTATAATATAGACGAGGCCGGTTTGACAACTGTGCAAAAGAAATCGCAGAAAATTTATGCTAGTAAAGGTCGCAAACAAGTTGGTGCTTTAAGTAGTGCAGAGCGCGGTCTACAAGTTACGGTCGTATGTGCAATGAATGCAATTGGAACATATGTTCCTCCTGCTTTGATTTTTCCTCGACAGAGAAAGAAAGATGAACTTATGATCGATGCACCACCTACTGGAAGTATAGCCTTCGCTCAAGAAAAAGGATGGATGACTTCCGATATTTTCTATTTGTGGCTGCAACATTTTTTAAGGTATACAAAGGCTTCTAAAACCAACAAAGTTTTGTTGTTACTCGATGGCCATGGTAGTCACAAAAGTTTTGAATCTCTCCAGTTTGCAAAGGAAAGCGGTATTATTATGTTTTGTTTTCCTGCTTACTGTTCTCATCCGTGGACGTAGGATTTTTTAGACCACTTCAAATTTACTACGGCCAAGAAATTCAATTATGGCTGCGACAGAATCCAGGTAAAACGGTGACCCAATTTAAAGTAGCCAGTCTCTTTAATAGAGCGTATTTAAAAAGTGCTTTACCATCAAATGCAATCAATGCATTTAAAAAGACAGGAATACAACCATTCAATCCAGATGTCTTCGAGGATTCTATAACAACAGATAGAGAAAATTCTGAACAAAATCCACTGCCAGAATGTTCTGACCAGAAGTCACCACCAGAACATTGGAGCCAAAATGTTTCTTCGATTGAAAGTTTATCAAAAAGCCCCACTGATCAGAAATCAACATCATCGTCAGTTCTAAACATCTCGGTAGAAGATATTTGTCCTCCTCCTTTAGCTGGAGTATCTCAAGTAATGCAGAAAAGGGGTAGAAAACGGGGTAAAACAGGATATTTAAATTCAACGCCAGAAATTGAAGATATAAAACAAAAAATTGCAAACAAAGAAGCAAAAAAAAGGAAACAAGACGCCAGAAAAGTGAAAAGGCAAGTTCGTGTTTCAACTACAAGTGGTTCTGAAGACGATTGTGAATGCTCTTTTGTAGAAGGCGACTCGGACGTTGCAGCTTGCATCTACTGTAACGAACTATTTTCGCATTCACGATCCAATGAAAAATGGATTCGTTGTCAAGTGTGTAAGAATTGGTGTCACACTGAATGTGCAGATGTAAATCCTCGACATAAACAATTTGTGTATGAATTGTGCGCGTAATTTTTTTATTCTTAAACATACCATGTGTAATATTTTTTATCGTTTGTAGTGTCTTTTGATCTAATAAAATAATTTGGTATTTAATTATTTTACACAAAATGCAACGAGTCCATCATGGGCGTACCAAAGGGTCCATCATGAGCGCATATATGCCCATGATGGACCCTTAACAGGATTTTAGTAAATTATGAATAAATTTTTAACATCACTTTTTCTGCAAAATTTGAAACATTTGCCATATTGTACAAATAACGAGACGTTATGTGGTCATATTTAAAGTCTGCTAAGTAAATAATTAAAATTATTATGAAGCTATTTTCTTAAGGGGACCATCATAGGCACATTTGCCCTACAACTATTATAAAGAAAAATCGTGTTTTTTAAGTTGTGCATGTTGATCTTGTTACATGTGTCATTCTAATTTCTACCCAAAAAATTCTCATATTAATTTTGTAATTGTAATTTGCTCTCATAAGCATTTTTGCGCCATGGATATTTTATAGTTTATAATATGTAGGATAAAGTATAATGTTAGTTTTTCACAATTATTGTTCTTGTAATAACTAAACTTAGTGACACAAAATACAGTTCGTGTTCGGTACGAAACCATTCACGAACCATTGTGTCCAGTCTTAACACAGGATTACATTCGAAAAAAAAGTGTACCAGTTTTATATGACGGGAAGTGTACATCACTACAACATTCAAAGCAACCTATACACTGAGATCTATTATGTCCAAAACCAAACCTAAAAATACACTAATAGATAAAGAGAGATAAAAGAACTGCATCTATATAATGAGCACAGAGTACAATGGAAAATGCCATGGGCTCTAGTTCCCATCTAGAGCCCATAAAGAACCCATACACAAATTGGGAGTCTTACGTTGCCATTCAGGGTATCTGTTAAAAACTTTAACATCACACCAACTTATTAACAAAGATGGAATAAATAACAAATAGTGTACCATTTTAAGGGTTTTTACCGACATATTTAAAGGTTTGACTCTTGTACACCTGCTAAAGGCACTGATGATATGGACTAGTTAGTTCGAAAATGTTTTGCTGTTATGTAGCCCGAAAGGGTCTTTTAATTATATAAGTACCTTTTATATAAAATTTTTGAATAAAACTTTTGTGATATATAGTATACAGCCAACTATAGAATACTAATTCATGAAATGAATTTTAAATTAGTATCTCATTCAACTTATATTATCAAAAAAATGTTTCCTAGTAAGACAATTTCGTCGGTTTCAAATGTAATTAATTACAGCTGTAAAAAGCTCGTAAAATATGAACATTTTGATATCGATATACTAAAATATACCTAATTAAGTAACATATTTCATTTTTGTGGATATCTGACTAACCTTTTTAAGCATTAATGTAGTTTTGGACTTGTATTGTTGTCTATTAATAATAACGTTATGTTTATGGTTTATTCTTTGGTGTATCTGATTGTGAGTGTTACTTAATTACAATATTTAATAATGCTATTGCTAGTCCATATACCAAAGACCTCAATTACCTCATCAGCCCTTCGGATTAATTTAGCGCTTTGTCACGTAAAAACTACATATACTTTGGTTTTTATTAAAAACTAGTTTTCTTTTCCATTTCTTTAATTTAGGTAAGTCAAATACGATACGCCCATGGCCTACAAGTCCGTTGCCCTAGCAACGAGTACCAACAAAGTTAAAAATGTGGCCTCTTCAGTAGTTCAGTTTAATAAAAATATTAAAATAGAAGTTAAGTGGATTTAAAACGTAGTCAAAAACTATACAGCCAAGAAACAAGCTTCGTGTTTACACGAATTAATTTGAAATTAATATAGATAGCCATGGTAAATGAGCAAAACAGCTGGAAACAACATAATACAAATTAAATGTAATTTCCCGATTTGCTTCGAGTTCAGAGCATTTTAAGTTTAAATTAAATTCCCAATTTCAAATTAAATCAAAAATAAATAATATTATATTAATTTGATGGTAATTGTGTGTAGGTTTATTTTTGTTTTGACAGAGCTAACCTGCAAATTTTCAACTATAAAATGTGATTACTTACAGGGATTCTAATGGTATTTCATCTTCTCCTTCCATATTATTTTAGTTACTGATCACAAAAGTTATTTCAGTTACAGTCACTTCACAAAAATATCAAGATTATTAATTCATTTTTATATTTCACTATTTCAGTCTAAAACTTTTCAGCACTTTGCGCGATTATCACACAAATGTATCATCACTTTTACTACTACTGATATAGAACATAGAACTGTCATGTGTTTGCCAATTGAATACAGTATAGCGACAACCATAAGATAAAGAGAGAGGGAGTGGTCGCGTACAGGTAGGTTCATACTGAAATAACCTGGCCGCAGTGGCGGAGAAATAGGTGAACGATTGAGTTAAATATAAATTTATATAAACTTATTAAAGTCCAGCATGCAGTTTATTGTAGAATATAGTTCAATATTAGTTGATATCAAATTTCAATACCTATATAAATTCCAAGCTAACTATCAATCCAATTATCGGACACTTAGTGAAATCTCACTAAATAAACAACAATAAATACACAGCAATACAATAATATAGAATAATGTCCAATATTGTGATGTTACAAAATAATGCTCTAATAATATATAATATGTAATACTATATTATCCAGTATGCAAATTACTCTTGGAATAATTTTTTTTTTTTTTTATAAATAAAAGTTTTATTTAAGAAAATATTAAAAACGAGCTATCTATCAGATATTTTCATGTATCAACTAGAGAAGATTTCAACATCCCGTATTCAAACAGTTTTTATATTGTGGGGATACTGCTATGTTTTACAGGAACTAACAGGCAGCTTGACCAATTTTTATCGAATATTAATTCACTCCATAGTCGTATTGAATTTACAATAGAAACAGAACAAAATCAATCCATAAATTTTTGAAATTTAAAAATTATTAGACTTAAAAAGAAACATGAGTTACCTCATACTATCACGACTATACACAATTCATCATCCCATCCGACATAACATAAATTGTTTATTTATAACCTATTACAGCATGTTACATAAACTAATAAAAATCCCGATCTAAAAGTACAACCTTGAGATAGAATTAAATATCATTAAGCAAATTGCAGTAAACAGTGGGTACAACAAACAAACAATTAATACCATTTGAATTCAAAAACTATATAAGAAAGCCCTGAAATTAGTATTTCCACCATCAGAGAAAAAACCCAGTGCCTTCGGCTCGGTTACATATACAGGCAAACTATCAACAAAAATAGCCACACACATAAAAAAGAAAGGAATAACACGAGTTTTTAGAACAAACAACAACTTGGGCAAATATATTAAAAACAACAAGAGCCAAAATAAAAAGCATTAACACAATGGTGTATAAAACTTAAAAAATGCAAGTCTGTTTTCAGGTGCGTCTGTAATTGTCCAGACTTTAGTTCCATATAAAAGGATGGTAGAAAATACGTATCATCTTAATACTCTATTTCTAATTTCTAATCCCAGTTGTATAATACTGCTTTCGTCTTATTGAAAGCACTTCTGGTCATCTCAGTGCGTTGTTTTATATAAAGGCAGCATCCCATTGTTCATTTAGCACACTTCGCAAGTAATTAAAGCTGGATCATTTCTCTACAGCTTTACTTTAATATAGTACAATTTGTTTTTGATATTGTTCTTCCTGACAATCATGATTTTTGTTTTTTTTTTTGTTCAGTGCCATCAATACGGTACTACGTAGTGCGATCAACCAAAATTTGCAGCCCTTCTCTGCTGTTTGCAAGGAGTATTGTATCGTCGGCATATCTGAGATTATTCACTAGTGTTTCTTTAATTGATATACCTTCATGGATGTCTTTAAACATCTAGCACATATGAAAAAGTATAGGTGATATTATACATCCTTGTCGTACTTCTCTTCTTATAGGTATCTCTTTAGACGTTTGTTTGTGCATCACATACTGATCATCTATGTATGTGATTTGTAATATGTTTGCAAGCCTTCTGTGTTGTATTTTGTCGAAGGCTTTCTCAAAGTAAACTGGACATATGGATACGTCACAGTTGACATCTCGATAACGTTGTATGAGTGTGTTTATAGTAAATCATGCCCCTCTAGTACCAAAGCCTTTTCTACATCCAAGGATCCCAAATTTTTTGTTTGATCCCAGGTTTTCTGTTATTCACCAATCCAGGATCAAGACAACGCTCGCCCGCAGATTGCTAGAATAACAATAATATGAAGTTGGTATTCAAGTTCTCGATTGGCCAGCAATCAGCCCAGACCTATGCTCAATTAAGCATGTTTGGAACCTTGATAAACTGAGAAATGCTTTAACGGAAGATTGGGAAAATTTTGATTCGGAGTACATACGATGTCTGATAAGAAGTCTTTCACAGAGAATAAGAGACGCCATTAGTGCCAGAGGTGCTAGTAATAGATACAGATAACGGGTTAACATTAGCGTCCATTTTCGACAACATACAGATGAATAACTAAACTAAAAACATTAGAATTCCAGGAAAGTTATTTTCTCCATTCTAAGACCAATACCTAAGGTTATGTAAGACCAAAACTCTATTGCCACCTTTAAAACAAACTAATGTCGTCTATCATATTAAAGAATGCAACTTCTGCTACATCGGGTGGACCAGCTGCTCTCTTCAAAGTCGACTAACGTGCTATAAACCCATGAAGATTTCCAAACCCTCCTGTGCATTTGCAGAACATGCCATCTCAAATAAACACAGCATCGATTTCGCTAATGTCAAAATACGTAAAGAATAAAATTATCATAAGTGATCCCTTCTTGAAATGTGCCAATTTATAAGACATCCAACTTCCCTAAATAAAACAATCAATATCGATAACTTGAGCCAGATATATCACTTTCTCGTCATACATAACAAATAAGAACCATCGTATCCCTTATTCCTTTTTAAATTAAAATAGTTCAAAATGTGAGATTCTGTACACACTCTCTACACTCTACACAAGCTGAAGGATAAAAGATAGAACCACGAAATACAACAATGGCGACCATGGTTAGGAAAGAGAAGCAGAGGAAGACCATAAATGAGATGAGCTGATGACATTAAGAAGATCGGTGGATACAACTGGAAGCAAGTGGCGCAAAATAGAAAACACTGGATTGATTTAGGGGAGGCCTATGTCCAAAGTTAGATTACTTAATGATGAAGAAGGAGAAGAAGTCCAAATTGTTCCATTCTACATCGAACAACATATTTTTGTTTATATTTCTCTCGCGAATACCCTCGACAATCGTAACTTACTGCACTCTAAGAACCACATGGACGAAGGCAATTCATATGTGTAACTATGACGCTCTTATAACAAATATATGCTCTATACAGCAAGTAGCCAAAAGCACGTTAGTGTCGTTTCATCCATATAAGAGCTTATACTTCTTCATATACCATGTCCTTTCAGAACATTAGTTACCATCATAGCTATCTTAATTTTATTCACTGCCACCCTAAATAGCAGGGTTGTATCAACACCATACCAATCTCACAAGTTCTTCAACCATGAGGTTCTTCTTTGTCCTGGACTGCGTTTGCCTGCTATTTTTCCTTGCATGATATTTTGTAGCAACCTATATTTGGGACCTCTCATTACATATCCGAAATATTCCAGCTTTCTCTGTTTGATACTTTTTATGATCTCAGTAGTTTTGCTGAGACGTTCTAGTATTGTGGAGTTTCGAATCTTCTCCACCCAGGAAATTTTTAAAATTCTTCTATAGCACCACATTTCGAAAGCCTCAAGGCGATTTGGATCGATTTTATTCACAGTCCAGGACTCGACGCCATAAAGTAAGACCGAGAGTACGTAGCAGCGAAGTAGGCGGATCCTCAATGCCAATTTTAGGTCTCTGTTACATAACACCTTGAACATCATTCTATAAGCAGATCTAGCCTGATCTATCCTAGATCTAATTTCGCCGTGACTTTCTGCGTTACAATTTCATTGCTGTCCAGGGTAAACGATTTTATCAACTTGCTCAAGTTGATTATTTACCTCAAAGTATTATTTACATATATAGACGGTTTTATATGCTGTTGCTTACTTATTACAAGTATTTACATTTTCCGTATGTTAATATCCAGACCTGACTCCCTACAACTCTCAACGACACTATCAAGTAGTGTTTGCAGATTTTCTTGACTAGAAGCTAGGAGTACTGTATCGTCCGCATATCGCAAATTATTGATGACTTCGCCGTTCACAAGTATTCCTTCTTGTTTTTCAGAAAGTGCTTTTCTGAAAATTCTTTCGGAGTAAACGTTAAAAAGCAGAGGTGACAAGAGGCATCCCTGCCATACTCCTCTTTTAATATTGAGAGCCTGTGATACACCGTCTACTAAAACTAATGTTGTTTGATTTCAATATAAATTTGCAATTATTCGAACATCTCTAACATCTCTGTCGTCCAAGCCAATGTCTTTTAGAGCTTCGATCAATATAGAGTGGTTAACACGATCAACTGCCTTTTGGAAGTCAATAAAACAACAGTATATGTCTACAGATATATCACGACATCTATAAGCAAATACGTTCATTTTAAACAGTGCCTCTCTCGTTCCAAACCCGTTACGGAAACCAAACTGAGTGTCATCCAGGTATTCCTCGCATTTATTGTAGATACGCCCATGTATTACCTTTAGAAACATTTTCAATAAGTGGTTTAACAAACTGATGGTTCTATAATCAGCACAGGTGGTTAGGTAGTTGTCCGCTGGCATAAATGGTATTGAAAAATGAAGTTATAGCCTCTAAAACATTGCTAGCATTTATAGAGCTTATACATAACAACCTAATGAAGCCAATAAAATCACCTGACAATTAAGTTAGCGAACACTAGTGCTCTTATTTAGATTTTTTTCTCGTTAAGTTTTTTGTGTTTCTAATGTTAAATTATCTTTTAGTTTTCATACCTTATAAAAATGTAGAATATTTAGAATATATATAGAATATCTAGAATACCTAGAAACGTATTCTATTAAACTAATGAAGTAGTTGACGTCTTTCATTTTCCAGCAATTAATTGACCGATCAAACCTCTGCATTCACATGTTGAATAATATATATATATATATATATATATATATATATATATATATATATATATATATATATATATATATATATATATATATATATACTAAATTATTAAACTATGCTCAAAATCTAGTAATATTCTAATAATGACCTATATACAGTACAGCAGATACAGACTAATTAATACGACATACCTTCGATAATTTACTTGGTAATTTTGCAACTAATACGACATATATTTAGTAAATAATTTCGCAATATTATGATACAATAACCCTCATACACATCACGAACTTATATTTGCAATTAAATAGACAATAATATTGGTTAGATTTGCTGCTAATTTTAGATAAAATCCATAACTGTATGTATTTTAAATTGCATTAACATTAATTCGAGAATTATTTATAGAAGCATCCAGATAAATACCGTATCTTATCTGGAATTACTGACAAATTTTATTGTTTACAAAATTACGATCACTGAATGAAACGAGGTCAGAATAGATTCAATAAACTGAATTGGAACAAACGAACTGAGCTGAGTTTAAAGAAACATAAACGTTGTCCTTTAAGCCCATGCCAAACTAAAGGAGAAAAATAAAAAGAACGATTTAACACAGTGTATGTACTAAAACTCAATTAAAGTCTTTTCTTAATAACTGCATAAAGACTTATTCGAGCTGATTGATGTGCGGTGGAAACAGATCGGGTGGTTTGGATGGAGACTCTGGTTTCTAACTCCAACAGTGTGCTAATACTAAAAGCGTGAAAAATAAATGTTGTGAACCAGTAAATGCAGTAATAAGTGAACTTTAGTTCAGAGCTGTTACAGGTAGTTAGGAGTGAGTAATTAATAGACGAAAACGTGAAGGAACCGTTAGAATATGGTAGCAAATATTTATTATTTTGTAATATTATTAAGAATATGTCAGTACTTACCACACAGTAACAGTGAGTGTACTTTGCGATCTTCTGGGATAACAATTCTCGTTACACACGGTAGTCTCTGAAGTAATACCACCTCTAGGTGGAGGTGTGGCGCACACGTGTCTACCCCCGGAAGCCCCGACGTACTCTACCGAAGGACTGACGCATATACTATGCCGACATTGTCCCTTCGCCCCTTTTGCACGCGCCTCGCACTGCGCATTCCCGCACTGTATACCTTTCTCTTGCTGAAAATATTCCTTTCCATGATAATTTTGGCACTGGATTTCCTGAAGACTGCTATTGACACATGGTACTTCCTTCTGATTTCCTTGACTTGTTACCGAGCTGCTGGAACTGGAACCAGGACTGGATTTACACATCTGATATCCCTCCTGATATGGACAACACTTAAACCTACCGGGTGTTCCGGTAAATCGGATCCTTTGATAATTGGTACCGTATGGTAGTGGTAATCGGTAATGGAATGCTAAATCTCGACGCATGTATGGATCGCTAGTGTTAAATTGTTTATAACCATACGATTGGTAGGTTGAGAAGTACGGTTCTTGAGGTTGCGGAACGTACCTCTCAACCGGTATGTGGGCATTCGGTGGGATGTAACGCTCCGCGTTGAACCGCCCATCTGTATTTACATACTTATCAGTACTAAAGTTTTGCTGACTGTTTTGCTGATACCTGTCGGCATAATTCTGGCTATACCTTTCCTTATATCTGTAAAAAAAGAAAACTTTTATACTATATTTAACCTACATTTTAACTAACATTCATCTAAGTGGTCTATATACTGTAAGAAGTATAATTCTACTTCTGCCTTAATAAGTTATCTATTTTTTATCTTATTTTCCTTTTATTTTTAATGACGAGATTATCAGATAATGAATAATACAGTATATGTATTTTTTAAACCATACCAATCAACTTAAATTATTAAATTTCTAAATAATTACTATGAAATTGTTTAGCTCTTTTTCTTATATCGTGGTGAGATAACATTTTCCTCACAGACACCTCGCCTCACACCTGTTGTGAAACTACTCATTATCATTATTTTGATATTAAAGTAAGAGACCAGGATAGAATAGGACAAAATGTAACAATAGACCCCTATAACTTTGAAAGAGTGGAGAGTTAAAGTGGGTGATCGACGAACGAGCCATAATACCGCGGTTTTAAGATCGACGGTTTTACTCGCGGCTCGTTGGCGCTGATCGACTAGCGAGTAAAACAGTCGTGTCAACCGTCTACAGCCAACATATCGTGTTCAACTGAAGTTTTGTGTTACCTCGCTATAGCATACTACATCTGTTCACTTCAATGGTCGCTAAAAACTGCCGGTTTGGCTCGCCACCCCTGATACACGCGCGGTTTTAACCGACGAGCCAAGTAAAAAATAAAACAAACTGACGAGCCGTGGGCCAGGCTCGTAGGTATATAAAACCGCGGTATTGCAATGATACACTGAGGAGCTTTAGCGACGAGCCACAAAACCGCAGTTTTACTCGCCTGTCGATCAGGGCCTTAATCGAAGCGACTATCACCACAGATAACGATATCACGGAAGAGATAAAAGGGAGAATTCAGGCAGCAAACAGATGTATGTATAGCCTCCACAACACTATTAAATCCAAGAGCCTAACACGAACATTAGAAATCAGAATATATAAAATAGTAATTAGACCGGTGCTCATGTATGGGTGTGAGGCGTGGACGCTGACAAAAACAATGGAAAGTAAACTCAGATGCTTTGAGAGAAAAACCTTCAGAAAGATCTTCGGTCCCTATCACGATCCGAATACTAACCAATACCGAATGAGAACAAATGCCGAGGTCCAACAAATGTATAGTGCTAGCGACGTAGTCCAAGAGATTAAATCCCAACGTCTAAGATGGGCTGGCCATGTTCATAGGCTCCCTAATAACCACCTTACCAAGTTAATCTGGGAAGAAGTCCCGATAGGGAGAAGGCCCTTAGGACGTCCACGAATGCGATGGAGAGATAATATATGGTCAGATTTGAGAACAATGGGGCTACCCACTGACTTAAACATCATGTACGACCGTTCGAGATGGAAGCAGGTTGTGCAGTCAGCCAAGACCCACCACGGGTTGTAGTGCTACCAGAAGAAGAAGAAGAAGACCAGGATATTTAAACACTTGGGTTCCTGATATGTGTTGCAACTCTTATTCAGTTATATTACGAGAAAGGCTGAAGAATAAAAAAACATTCTACGGTTTTTGCTAGTTCCGTGATTTGGCAAGAACTTAAAAACCATACTTTGACTGCTACTTCCGTTTAAGATCAGGAAGATGGATAATCAAAAAATTGTTTACATATTATAACCTAATTTTGAAAAAAAAAAATAAACAAAACAGAATGAGATCTTGTTTTGTCGCAGGGGAACCCAGAGTTTTTTGGGATATAGACTACAACAATAGAATCTTTTGAAACGTCATATCAGGGTATCAAGATCATGATTTTTTGGGATTTAGACTACTACAATAGAAGCTTTTGCATCCTGATATCAGAGTATCAAGATCATGATCCAACTGAGTGTAAGCTACTTATAAACTCCTATGAGTTAAACTTAGTTTAAAAACTCTAATCACTTCACAGTGACAACCATCTTCTTTCTATTCCTGTTGGTTATGCAGTATATATGAAGCAGATCTATAAAACTTAAAAACACTGATCGACTGAATTAACTACGATAAACACACAAAAACATCGATCTGAAAGTGATTGCTTTTTCGTAGGAATCCAATTAGGCTTTGAAGGAAACTAAAGTTAAAGAAGGTATTTTTGTGTGGTCAAAAATTCTTCTTATGAAAGATAGATCATTCGACAGAGCTTTGAAATGTATGGAAAAAAAGGCTTGGAAGCTCCCAAGTGAGTTATTATAAAATATTAACGCAACAAAAAAAGATGATAACTACCAAATTTAAGGAAAGTATTACGGACAAATTCCAACAGGTCAAATGTAACATGTCCTTTAAAATCCACTTTTTAGTCTCATTTCGACTTTTTCCTGCTATTTGTGAAGTTGTGAATAATGCATGGATGAAGATTTTATCAGGGCAATTCAGCAATCAAAAAAAGGTACCAAGATCGTTGGAGCGAACCTATGCTTACAGATTACTGTTCGTTTTTATGTAAATTCCCCAATATCTCCCCAGTTTTCCTTGGTGAGTTTCCTTGGAGAAAACCATAGGAAAAACCCGTAATCCACAGAGTGAGACATCTTTACTTTCAACAGTAAAGTTGAAAAAAAAAGTGAATGTTAAGGAGGCCAGTAACACTACGCCTAAAAAAGACATATCTAAAGTAGGAGGATAACAAATCTTGAAATGCCGTCAATATGTACTCGACAGAAAAATAAAGATACTAAGTAATTTGGCTCGAAAACAGTTACAGCAGTACTGAAATCAGGAACTCCCTATGAGAAACTTCTTGACGATGTATTACAAACAAGAAAAACGTAATTGAATGAACTGATTTGATCTCAAAACTCTTCGTTGGGAATGTACTGCATACGTACGTACCTACGAAGAAAAAGATACCTTAATGTCTGCTGAAAAAATTCTCAACAGACTAAAGAAGATTAATCGGTGCCTGAGAACGCAGGACTCAAAAGTATTCCACTGTGAACAATCAAGGCCAAAGAAAACGGAAGCTAGCGGAGAATGGTCAAAAAAAGAAAATGTCCTCTTTCTCACAAGGCTAGCAACCACAAAATTGAAAGAAGACAAATGAAAACATATCTAAAAACCAAGCCTCTTGTATAAAAAAGTCTGGGGGGAAAGATACTTAAAGAGGAAACAATGATTAAATTTATGCAGAAGAATCTTCAACATGTCAAGGTTACTTTATACACCTTTGGCAGAAGATTCGTAATTGAAGCTGCATATGTGGGACTAATCCAGGAACCTTGGGTTACTTGTACAGGCCTAACTTGTGGCCTAAGATCCGTCTTAAATAAGGTACTGTAGTGCTCAAAAAGAGAGATTGGTATGGTGTAGATACAAGCATGCTATTTAGGGTGGCAGTGAATAAAATTAAAATAGCTATGATGGTAACCAACGTTCTGAAAGGACATGGTACATGAAGAAGAAGTGCTCAAATGGAATAAGACGCTGAGCCTATAGAATCACCATAGGCGAGAAAATTGGCAGATGGTATTTAGCCGTATGCTCGTCATACTTCGCAGGTGATAGAGCAGCAACAGATACCCTTCTATGGCAATTAAAAAAGTTATCGAATACTGTAGAAGGAATGGACTACAAGACATTGATGGCTATGATGCTAACTCACATCATGTAGTATGGGGAAGCAAAAGGACCGGTAAATGAGGTGAGCGCCTTTTTACCTATATTCTAGGAAAAGGGCTTGTATTGAATAATAAAGGTAATAAACCCACCTTTATCTACCTTACCAATAGAAAAAGTCAGGACGTTATTGATATAACTATAAATGCTGAACAAATTAGTAATGAAATTGTTAACTGGCATGTGTCGTAAAAGCTATTGATCTCAGATTACCGACACGTTGACTATGTTAGCTAGAGGTAAACTACCCTTAATTAGCTGCAGGGACCCAAAATGAACAAATTGGGAATGGTATCGAACCGGCTTGGAAGCAAAGATAGAAAATACAATTAGTAAATGGTAATATGAAACAAGTTTGGATATTGAAGAGACGAATGATCGAATCAGAAAAGCAATTTTCGTATCATACTAAGAGAACTGCCGAATCAAAACCAAGATGAGTACGAGACAAACACCTTGGTGAAGTAGAAAACTCGAAAACCTAAGAAAAAAAGTGAGGAGGCTATCGAATAAAGCCATTGAACCTAACCTAACGTATACGCAGCAATGCCTTACTTTTCTATCAAAACAATTGTTCTATTATCCAAAAATATATTATATTTTATGGGTCAGAGGCTATATTGCTGTAAGTATAAATTGAAATTTATACAAAAAAATTTTTGTTAAAATCCTTTATAAAAGGTATATAAAATTGCCTCAAACGGGCTATCACAAACACATTGCAAAACGTTTTTGGATTAAACAATCCATCATCAGTGCAAACGGTTGTACATGCTAGTAGCCACCAAAATATATGGGTAAAAACCCCTTAAAAGTTATAAATTTAACATTATTTTACATTATTAGTTTTTATAGTTTCTGATGGTTAAGTTACCGTTGGATAGGTAACATGGCGGCGTATGACTCTACATTAGTAAAATGGTCCTGAGACGAAGTGCCTACGAGGACCTGTTGATAACAACTGTTGTTGATACCAACCAGTATCCTTATAAAGGATTTTAACAAAAATTTTTTTGTGATATATGGTATACAGCCAGCTACAGGAACTTAGTTTCCTCGTGGAAATTTATACACGCTCAGAACAAATAAGTTTATTTGTAGTACAAAATCTAGTGTTTGGCTGAAATTTTGAAATTTTCGTATATTATGTCAGTTTTTTTTTTTCAAAATCTACGCATGTCAACATACATATCCAGATGAATGTGCTTAATGCTGAATATGCTCAAATAAACTCAAAGAAGTTTACTATTTTTCGAGACTGACGTATAAACACGTGTTTTGAGTTCTGTTTTAAAAATGTTTTTAACTTGTTCGTAAGCACATGTACTTTCAAGGCGTAAATATGTACGCTTCTGATACGGTTCAGTTCTTACCTGTGATCGTTACTATGAAACCTATCCGTCGAAATATTAGGCGAGGAGGAATATCCCTGGTATCTCTGGATTTTGTCATAACGCTCGACAGCGTTCTTTGATGCAAACGCCTCAGTTGGTGAAGGAGACAAAGGTGGCGGAGGAATGAACCGTTCTGGAGGTGGTACCGCAGCAGTAGGCGAAGGAAAAGTATTGTTTGAAAAGCAGTCTGGACTGGGAGTATTTTCAGGAGATAACGGTGGAGGTGGAAAGAATCTGAAAACAAAATGTTAACATTAAATTTAATAATAAATAAAAAGGTAACATTTTTGAAAATGGTAACAATTAGAGAAGTTATAAATTACAAATGTTAAAATTTATTAATATTTTAGGATATATTATTTTATTCTATGCTATTTTATTTTTCTTGTTTCCTTTATTTACAGGCTATATATTAGATAAATTCGTTCATCCTATCTAATCGTACTTATGGTTGGTATGATTAAAATAATTATATTTTTCATTTTTTAAATTTTTCTTCTATTCATTTTCAATCTTTTATTTTTGGTTTCTTTGCTAGCTGCATACGTTATACGAGAATTGAATAATTATTTGTTGTTATAACATCATTTCAATATCTATCTTGATACCAAAAATATATTCCTGTCATCGGGATATTCTAATACCCGATCATTGGTGGCTAGTAGAAATAAAGCTAATATACGTAATAATAGTACATACTATGTCTACACATACATACCTATATATGATTTTAGGTCTATTTATATGTCAATAATATGGTAATGTAACTAATAATTACTTTATTAAAAAACTAAATTACATTATCTGTGTATGCGTATTCCATACACTAAGTATGGAATTTATGCAATAATGTACCTAGATATTATACCTAGATAGAAACAATGTACCTAGATATATACTTTTCTAGTAATTTCCACACTTTGGTTTTCTTTGTCAAGTTTCAGAATTTAGCCTAGGTAGCTATATTCCTGAACTTGTTTTATCTCACTGTCATTATTTATAGTTATACATCTGAGATCGTCTGTGTTGGTCATTTTTTTGTTTCTGTCATATTCATTTTTCTGTTAACTCGCTGTCTGCGAGTTCCCTTATCATAATTTGTAATTCCTCGAATGTGCCCGCTATGTCGTCAGCTAATCTGAAGTGGTTTAACTTGTTGGCTTTAACGTTGATGCCATATGTTGACCAATTTGTAGTTTTGAAGACGTCTTCAAAACATAGAGAATTGCTAAAGACTGTTAAACACCAGAAAATGTCTTATTTGGGACATATAGTAAGGGAAAATTAATACAGAATATTACAACTGATCTTTAAAGGCAAAATAAAAGGCCGTAGAGGTGTAGTAAGTAAAAAGATTGCTTGATGATGATCGCCAACTTCGGATAACTCTGATATGACACGTGAAGAAGAAGAAGAATGGACGAGTTGGAAAAAAGAAAGGAATCTGGTCTTGAGAAGTTAAGGTGAGAAAATAGTAACTACCAATGACATATTATTGATCAGGTTATGTCAGCAATTTTCATTGTCTTTCAAGAATCATCATGGCATATATACTCCTGGCGGAGTGATGGCCACTCTCTTTGTGCTTTTCCTATTAATTTGTTGTGAGAAATAAGTTTAAACTACCTTTTTGGTTTATAATTGTTGAGTGCTGTACATTCTCTAACGCCTATTTTCTTAAGCTCCTCAATTATGTGGTTCTTCCTCGTGGTCTACCTGTTACTAATCTCTATTTAGTAATTTTCTTGATTACTGGTTCTAGACTCTCTAGATTTCTCTTCTTTCTAGATGTTTCATCCATCTGAGTCTAGGCGCCTTAATAATTCTGACTATGTCTTCTCCTTTTAAAAGTTCTCTTATTTCGTGGTTTATTAATTTTCTAAATTCGCTATTACCTGAGTTTAGTGGATCTGATATTCTCAAGTTATTTTTCTTATTACGAACCTTAATATTTCTTTACCTGTCTGTGTCAGGCACCATATGTGATTTCTGGTCTAATTGCTGCTCTCTAAATCTTTATTTTAATATTTTGAGTAAAGTTGTTATCTTTTAAAAGTTGTTGTAGTTCCAGTAAATGCCAGTTGGATGTACATATGGATGTCAAACCTGTACCCCAATCAAGGCAAATCTGAATAAACTAGCCACAACGAAAGGACAATGGAAAGAGCAATGTTAGGTATGCGACTGTCAGATAAAAAAAAGAACGACTAGGTAAGATTAAAAACAAAAGTTGAGCATATAACAACAAAAATTGACAAACTCAAATATAGTTTCGCAGGTCACACTGCTAGACAATAAGACCAACGTTGGAATGCCACAATACAACATTGGATACCTTACAACGGTAGACGACCAAGAGAAAGACCACAGATAAGATGGGACGACATCAAAAGAATAGCCGGAGCAAACTGGAAGTATGTTGCTTAGAAAAGAGATCGATGGTAGGCTTTGACCCTTCTTAGTACTTCCTCATTATTTTTTCTTGCTGTTAAAGCTTAAAAAGTATCTTGAGCATCCGTCTATAAATCAACATTTTCAATGCTCTAATTTTGTTCATATTTGATACTTCTAGTATCTACAATTCTGCTTCATGTAAAAACACAGACCAAATATAACACTTAACCATTCTTTGTCTTAGTTCTAAACTGAGGTGACTATTTTAAAGAAATATCTTCACTTTTATAAACATAGTTTTAGTTCTTGATATTCTTCATTTTATTTCTATTTCTGGATATAGTTGTTTCGTTATGACAGTTCCCAAATATGTCATATTGTGAACTTTCTCAACTTGGACTCCGTTTAATTGAAGCTTTGCATCGGGATGTGGGTCACGACTAAACATAAAATATTTGGTTTTGTTTGAGTTTTACGTTTATGGTATGTAAGATTATAGAACTACATTATATTCTAATACGACTTTTTCTTGTAAGTTGGCTATTCTCCCGTTCATTAACTTCCAAGATTTAGGAGCTTTTTATGCACTGCTACAGAGATAGTCACTAGAGCCTGTTTGCTTTTGTAAATATTAATATAATTCTTAACAATCTTTTTTCCGTTACCATTTCTTTTTATTTTCGATAGCACTATTACGATCGATTTTCATTCGTTATACTCCATCATACACTTTAACATATTTTGTTTGCAAATGTTGTGCAGTATCCAGCATCCAAAATTCTTACCCGTTTTCGTTGTTTTAATAGCTAGAAAAGCTTCTTTGGCTTATAAAAGATAGATCAGGCGTTTTAAATCTAAATTTTTATTTTTTTGCTTATATTTGCAGTTCTCATTAATATTGTCTTTCCAATAATAGGTAACGTTGACTCTTGTTGACTTGTTGACCTTTGTTTTGTGTAGCTTTAGAAGTATTAAGTTTTATCCAACATTTATTGTATGTTTTAGTTATCCATTAAGTAAATTATTTAAGTTCTATTTCAAATCTAAAACTTTGTTGAGTGCATTTATATATGTTCTTTCTACATGTCAGTTGATTGCAAATGATTCTTATCGTTACGAGTAGTGTTGCCCAAATGCAAAAACAAGACGAGACTTAGACAGTCTTGGTCTTGGTCTTGGTCTTGCGCCAATACACCTGGTCTTGGTCTTGGTCTTGGTACTGCACTCGCGGTCTTGGTCTTTTTTGAAAAAAAAATATTTGTAACTCCTTTTTGTGAAAAGGTATTAGATGCTTCCTTAAACCTGGCATGTTTCTGTTTTTCATTTTCATTTCAACTTTTCTATGTAGGCACAATTTACACAAAGCAATTTGGGTTGCAAGAATTATTTCGATAAACTCATCAAATTTGCTTTTAGGTCTTTCAGATCTATAATTCCAACGCTCACTACTCCGACTAGAACTATTTGAATATTTGTCCCTTATGTCAAATTATACACTTATCGCTCCGGGAACAACAAGGATTAGATGAAAGACAATTATTATTACATTAGACTCAAAGGAAAGCTCAATTGGGAATGAAGTTTAGTGATATCGAAAAAGTAGCTACTAGTAGTTACTTTATCTCCGTTACTATCCAAATCCCTAAGTATCTAATAACAAACTGAGAATTATATTATATCGTTACTGCGTTATTTTAAATATATTGGTATTTTGTTTACACGGTAGGCGACATTATCAATTATTAATTTGTCTCGTTGCTTATGAAAATTAGTCGCGCTCTTTCAGCAAATTTTGTTTAACTAAATGAGCTCATCATACACTCAGCAGAAACAATGTTTAGTCTTAGACCGATAAGACTTGTTTATTTAAATTCCTCCTAATTAAATTATAATGGGAAAAAATTGAATTATTAAGTGGGTGTCCGTAGTGTTATATTTTTTATTAGCTAAGGTCAAATGTGTTTTTTTAATGAATATTTTGATTGGGTATGCATGTTTATGGTATTTTCAAATTTTAATTACATATTGTATATAGAAGAAGAATCAGAAGAACAAAACGGATTCAGAGCGGGACGATCCACAATAGATAGTATTTTTTGCTTATCCCAAATACTCGAGAAAAGAACACTGAGATCTCGAGAAGTGCATTTACTTTTAGTCGATTTAACAAAAGCATATGACACCGTGCCTGTTGCGAAATTGTGGGAAGTATTGGAGAAAACCAGTATCAGCGTTTCACTAATCGACGCTATTAAAGATCTATATAACAACACAATATCAAAAGTTAAAATAGGAAATAAGGTTACTAATGGTTTTCAGGTAACAAAAGGACTGAAGCAAGGTTGTTGTTTATCTCCCATACTATTTAATATATATATCGACGAAGCACTCAGGCAATGGAAAAAGAAGTGTAAAGGGATGGGGCTGTCTATTGGGGATGAAACGTTATACACGCTGCATTATGCAGATGACCAGGTAGTTATTGCCCAAGACAAGGAAGACCTAGAGTATATGGCTAGAAAACTAATGGAAGAGTACAAAAAATGGGGCCTCGAAGTAAATTTACAAAAAACGCAATATCTTTGCATAGGAGGAGAAAATACTGCAGATGACCTCGACTTAGAAGACGGGAAAATTAAGAAATGCGATCAATGTATATATTTGGGGGTAAAACTAACAAAGACAGGAAGAACTGATGAAGCCATAAAAGACAGAATAACCAAAGGGAAACGAGTTATAGGTGCATTGAATTCAGTACTATGGCAGAAAAATATAAGACCGGAAACGAAAAAAAGAATATATAACACAATATTGAAACCAGTAATCGTGTATGGCTCAGAAGTATGGCAGTTATCACAAAAACTTAAAGGTAACCTCTTGGCAGTTGAAATGGATTTTTGGAGGAGAGCAGCGGGAAAGTCTCGATTAGAACATGTGAGAAATGAGGACATAAGAAATCAAATGAATGTACAAAGATCAATTATAGAAGACATCGAAAAACAACAACTGACATGGTACGGACATGTTAGACGTATGGGGGAAGAAAGACTACCAAAAAAAATATTAGAATGGGTACCACCAGAGAAAAGAAAACGAGGACGACCACCAACAACATGGATGCAAGGAATTTCAAAAGCCATGTCAGCAAGAAATCTATTTGAAGAAGACTGGCAGAATAGACAGGCTTGGCGAACGGAAACCCAAAGGCGGATTACGCTATAAACGGGATATATATATATAATTACATATTGTTATGCGTCTCATAGAGTCTTTAAGCATATACCCGAACTACTATACTCGCTTGGTTCTAATTGCAAGACGCAAGAGTCTCGCAGGCTTAATCTTGTTATTGCTTAAATCTTGCACGGTCAGTCTGGGTCTTGGTCTTGCTAAAATTAGGCGGCCTTGGTCTTGGTCTTGGTCTTGCGAAAATGTAAGAACAAAACCAAGACTACAAGACCAAGACCGATTTTGGGCAATACTAGTTACGGGCGAGTCTTTCATTTCAATTTAAAATAAAAAAAGATAAAATACAAGCATTATTTCACACAATTGAAGGATTTGTCAAAATATTTATAAATCTGAATAAATGTATCAAACTTTGGTAAAAAAGGAAACAAACCTGTCACTAGCCGGTGCTGGAGAAGGTGGTTCCAAATAAGAAACCTGAGAAAAAGCCATCTTCTCTGGTCGCTCAATTCTCTCTTGCGTGGCGAACCTTTCCGGGCAAGGTATAGCTGGAAAGCGATCTTGTCCCAGCCTCTCATTAACGTACTGTTCATATCGGTTTTGATACTCCCTTTCCTTGTTATTTCTATCCGAACTCGTCGATCTCTCCCTTTCTCTAGGACAAAGTTCTGTCTTGGAACCGCTACTAGTATGACGGTCTGTGTTCGACATGTGACGTTCTGTGTTTGACATGTGTCTATCTGTGGTAGAAACGTAACGGTCGTCGTTGTTAGCGCTTCTTTCTTTATCAGTCGATAAGGTGTGATACCTGTCAGTAGGCGTTGTAGTCCTTGAATACCTGTCCACTGTTCCGTGTGAGTGGTACCTATCCAAACTACCAATATTTTGAATCGGTGTGTACCTCTCGGGGAACCTTGGATTAGTTGACCTATCATAATTGTACCTAGAACAACGAATATCAATGAGATAATAACTAATAGCATAAAATCACATATTAGAGAAAATTTATCTAAAATATGTTAAGACTAGCACTAAATATTTAGAGAAATTAAAGTTGATTGAAAACGTTAATTTGCACAAGATAAAATATTAAATTAAGTTTAAAAGAAAATTTTAAATGCAGAAAAATGTGCTGCAGTACGAATCGCTACCATCGCGAATGTATTAAGAAAAAGAAAATAAATATATTATCACAATAGAACTATATCAAATATCATCAGAGTAGACCTAATGATATATTATTGAACAATAGCAGAAGGTACTGGGTTTTTTCTCTGGTGGTGGAAATACTAATTTCAGGGCTTTCTTGTGTAGTTTTTGATTTAACATTTTATTAATTGTTTATTCGTTGTATCCGTTGTTTTTTGCTATTTGCTTGATGATATTTAATTCTGTCTCAAAGTTGTATTTTGATATCGGAATTTCTGTTATGTAACATACTATGATAGTCTGCCAGTTTATGTTGTGATGGATGGGATGATGACTGGCAGCCTATCATAGTATGTTACATAGATTAACATAAATTCCGATGACAAAATACAACTTTGAGACAGAATTACATATCATCAAGCAAATAGCAGTAAACAACGGATACAACGAACAAACAATTAATAAAATGTTAAATCAAAAACTACACAAGAAAGCCCTAAAATTAGTATTTCCACCACCAGAGAAAAAACCCAGTACCTTCTGCTCGATTACTTATACAGGCAAAATATCAACTAAAATAGCCAAACACATAAAAAAGAAAGGAATAACACCAGCTTTCCGAACAATTAACAACCTACGCAAATATATCAAAAACAACAAGAGCCAAAATAAAAACACTTACACAGTGGTGTGTACAAACTAAAATGTGGCGTCTGCCCAAAAACTTACATCGGTCAAACTGGTAGAAACTTTAATAAACGAATAGAAGAGCATAAAAGGGCTTTCAATAATAGAAAAACAGATTCTACATACGTACTTCATCTTCTAGATCACAATCATTCGTTTAATGACGAATTTAAAATTCTTCACATTCAAAATAAAGGCCTTAAGCTATCCTTGTTAGAATCTATGCAAATCAACAAATTAAAAAACACAGATATAATTCTGAATGAACAACTTGAGACAAACAGTTCTCCCCTCCTCAACCTATTTCATTAGAGACTATAAAATGTAAACGCATGCCAAAAATAGATCACTTGAGAAAGGCAATCAGCCAAAACAGCTGTAGTGATAAGTTAAAATAAATTTTGTGGAAGTTTGAAAACAAAGTTTTCAGTGTTTTATTGTTACATAAAATGAATTTCCATCAAGTTACGGTCCAATCGATCAATTATATATTATTGAGTTGCGGCATAGTTTCATTGTTTAATAGCAGTTGACATATACAAAACATAACAAACATAACAAACGTTTGTCCCCACTGGCATAGAGGATTTAACAGACTGATAGGGACTTAATCGCCGAGACAGAAGACGAGCTCCAAATATTAACACATATCTTCAATACACCAACCAAGAAATACAATATGATAATATCAGCAAAAAAAAACAAATGTATGACAACATCTAAATACCCACTACGGTATAAATAAATAATGTCTGGGAATAGATATAACTAGTTATGGAGATGTTAAAGAAGAAGTAGGACAACAAATCTTAAAAGCAAGTGAAGCGGCGGGATCTCTTAATGACACAATCTTAAAGAACAAACACTTAAGACAAGACACCAAAACAAGAATCTATAAAGCAGCAATTAGACCTATATTAACATACACGGCGGAGACAAGACCTGACACATCTAAAACGAGACGACTACTAGAAATAACGGAGATAAAAATAATCTGACGAATATCAGGAAAAAATCTATTGGATAGGGAAAGAAGCGAAAACATAAGAAGAGCATGCAATATAGATGACATAAATGGATGGGTGACAAAACGAAAACAGGAGTGGAACGAACACATCAGTAGAATGGCAGAGGATAGAATAGTACGAGTAGCACGAGATAAGTCACCAAATGGACGAAGAAGTATTGGCAGACCCAAGAAAAATTGACCATTTAAACAATTTAGGAGGTTAATATTGAAGAAGAAGAATGAGAACTCCGTTGAGCTTGGATATTGCAAAATTTTTGACGAAAAAAATTATAACCACAAGAAATTAGAAGATAAAATGTCATTGTGTTGGTACCGTTATATGGATGACACTTTAATAATCTATAGACATGGGTCGTGTACAGTTACAAATTTAGTAAATTTTATACTTTACTTACAAAGCTGAACAGGTCTTGAAGGCCTAGGGCTAAAATGCAATTAATATAATACATATAATACTTATATAATACAAAACTTATATCAACTAGGATAGCTTGTTGTCCAATCAGGCTGCTTGTCTACTAAATTGGCTTACTATTCTTCTCCATTCATCCCTATTTTTGTCCTATTCTTCTTCCTATTTCTTTCCAACCATCAATTATCTCTTTTCTGAGATCTTCCTGTACACTAAAAAACCTATTTTTTTCTGGGTGGCCCTTTTCTTTTTTTCGTGATTGGGCATTGTTTTAGAATCATCCTTGGCATCCTTTTTTCTTACCGTTCTCATCACGTACCTCATCCATCTAGCTCTATGTGCTTTTATGAAGCGATTGATGCTTACAAAATTTCTTAAGCTCCCTCTTTGTTCGTCGTATCCAACCTTTCGCTGCATTTTGCCACCATATATAGCTATGAGCATTTTCCAGAGTTCCCGCAAGACAGGGAACAAAAGTCAAGGACATGATGGGCGAGGTTGTAAGGATAAAATGTCGATGGACTCGACACATAGACAGATAGTAGATGGTAGGAGAAGAGCAGTAGTAAACAAATAGTAAATGAGATTGGCGCCAGACAGAGAAATACGGAGGCAATTAAGAAAGAGCTACATTTAGGCGTAAATAGATAAAGGTTGACAAATAGAGGAAGGAGGAGAGAAAATAGAACGAAAATCGAACTGACAACTTTTGCAAAGAAATTAAAGAAAACCATCTTAAATGGATCATTATTTAAAATAACAATTCGAATCACCATTCTTGATAAAACAGCATCGGAATAGAATAGTTATGCTTAAAGAAACGTGTCAACTACAACATTGACAAACAACGAGAAGCTTTCTTACCGTATTTTATTAATGTTACAGATCAAATCATTCAAATCTCAGCAACACATGACGTCCATATTAAAACAAAAACACACGATAGGTTTCCTAGCAAAGAAGGGGTTCAGCATCTACGAGTATACAGCATGTGACTTTTTTATTACGAAATTCAAAAATTCTGTCTAGATGCACCCAATCGATTTATATTTTAATACCAATTTTGACTCGCATAACTGAAAAGCATAGCATGGTTTATATAGCGCAGATAATGAGGAAGATCAGTGTATCATCAGAATGATACGAGATCACGTCTACGTCCGCCTCCGCACAATTTTTAATTATGCATATAAACTGGGTTTATATGCATACGACATAGAAATAAAGATGACAATATATTTTTACAAAACTCCTACACTACTTCTCAAAATCCTCTCATGGACTTCAAACAGTGCTAACCTTATTATTAATGAGGCATTGCTGTCTTAAAATTTTCTACAAAAATAACTGTTGAGTTAACTAAGTTGAACAACAAAGACCAAGTTAGCCAAATTTCGACTGAATATTAATAAAAATAAGATATTTAAAATAGAATAATAGTTACAGTTGCATTGTTAAAACTATGTTTTTAGAAATATAATATCAAAACTGTACCTCTCTGGTTGATAAACCGCCTTATTCTCATTTTGACAGTGCCCTGAGGTTTGCAGTGGTTCCTTGAGCAGAAGTCTATCATTCGAAATAGACGTTTGCGGTCGCTCTCCGAGAGGAAACCGTTCTGATACACCCTGATACCGCTCACCCGACGGCAACCGATCCGAGTTACTACGTTCCGAACCGAACCGATCAGTGGAGTAACGTTCCGAAGGGGTTGCGCGATCCTGTGCGAATCGTTCCGTCGCGGCAACGTATCGCTCACGATCATTGGTCGCCGGTGCGTCCAGCAGAGTCTTATCGTTCGAATAGCGATGAGAAGTGAGAGTATCCTGCTGCTTTTCGGCAGAATTGCAACCAGCAGGACAATGAGCGGACCGAGAAGGCGACTGACATTGAGAGGCATATTGCGGCAACGAGATCTGTCTTCGGCCATAGTCGTCGTCCGCAGGCATTCTGGTGGCCCTGGGCCCGTTGTCAGGACATCTGAAATAATAAAAAAGAGTCAATATATTTAATCTCAATTAAAGTCTATTCACACATGTTCGAAGAGTAAGACCTAAGAAGGAGTAACACCGAGCAATAAGCTCCTAGCTGTTAGCGTACTGCTCATTTACATATAGATCGATTTGACACATCAGGGTATTCTATTTTAAGTAGCAGATCCATTTAGATTTTATGCTACTACTTTAATTTATTTGCTTTTTGGCCAGGGTTTGAATGATCAATCCACTAGAACATTAACAGTGAGCTAAATGCGGTCCGTCCGCTTGACTCGCTTGGCCATCTGACCAACCACTATGCTTAACATTCAAACAATAACATTTTGCAATAGATACAATAGACAATATAAGTCGAGGTGTGACTTCACTAAAAAAGTCTTCTTTTTATACCTTTATCCTTCAGGAAAACAGGGACAACTTTTCAGCTAAATTTCTCATATAAATAATGTATATCATTTCACAAAAGTACATTCTACGAATACTGACAAAACAGAAAGCAAACGTTTTTTTCCTTAAATGACACATCAACCACGCAGGGTTATTAGCGTGTATGTATTGTCTTACAAAATTAGAACTTAATACAATAATAACAATCACAATAGATAATTAGAAAAAGGCCAAAATCTATACAGAGTAAAATACTAGATTTTTGATAAAAACTTGCATTCTTTGAAGAACGCGAATCTTTTTTGTATTCCTGTCTCTTCCAACAGTACTGTTTAATGCTGGTGGTGTTATATATTTTGTGTTGCACTTCGTACTTGTGATAATGCAATAAACAATGTTTTAGCGTTAAACACTTTTGCACATGTTACACAGGTTTATTAGCACGTTTTAGCAGGTAGTCATGTGTTAACTGAGCACGACCAATCCGGAGGCGAGTGAGGATTGTTTGTTCTCTTCTATTTTTTAATTATATTGATATGTAGAAGTGTCCCTGTTGCTCCGATATGAAAGTCTGGATCGATTTGTCAAAAAATTGTATTTCTTATTCGGGTGCATCTACTTTTAATTTTTCGATCATTTAGTTTAGGGTGTATTTCTGGTAGTATTACTGTGACTTTAGTAATTTCATTCGTATACATTCTTGCAATATTGAGTGGATCTGAATATCCTGCACTGTTCTTGGCGAAAGCTATTAGTTGTTCATAGTTTAAGGGAGAACTGGAATTTTGGTCTCTAAATAATTCTTGTGTTGGTTTTAGCATTTCCTCTATCATTTTTTTCTCTTTCTTGTCTTGGTTTAATTTAACCGCTTTTTATTTGTTTTTTGGTAACTCAAAAATATGTTCTAATGAAGAAGTTGGAAACGTTGTAGAACGCTTGGAAACTGTGCGTTTTTGTGGTACTGGATCTGTTTCTATTTGGTTAGTTATGAGTTTTGTCCTAAATGTTTCATATTTCATAGCTTATTCGTTTAGTTGGGTTTGCTTCCGCTGGATGTCACTAGTTATTTCTTTAGTCACATGATTGTTGCTATTTTTAATAGGGTACGCGCCTGCTTCTGTATCGTGAGGTATTGAAGTTTTGTCACTTGATACAGATGCCTACCTTTACTGGAGAATATTTTGCTAAATGCTTGGTATTTTTGCATATTTGACAAGTCTGTTTTTCTGAAGATAAGTATATTCTCATGGGTAATAACAAAATATTGGGATAAGATATGTTTGGTTAAAGGAGATATGTAGGTTTGCTGCCTGAAGCTTAATATAGGATGGAATTTTGGACTTGATGTTCCTATCTATAGAAACGATAAGGGTGGCAAAAGGTTTTCACCAAGTACTTGCAATTCAAATTTGAAGAATAAGTATGGAATAGACGGACATATATTAGAGAGTACTAGTCACTGTATAACCCTTTTACTTGGAGTTATATTTTTTTGATATGGAAAGACTGTTTTGGAGGATAAGAAAAGATAAGAAACTGGGCTTAATAACTAGACCAAGCGAAGATAAAAATGGGAATAAATTAACTAGAAGCTATTAATAACAATCCAGAAGGGAAGTTGAGTGACCCGGTTGATAACGCTGATTAACTAAAACTTAGTAAAGAGAGAAAGAGAAAAAAATATAAAGAGGATGAGACGTACATATTCAGGAAGTGGAGACCGGCAGGCTTTAGGGAAGAAATATATAGTGATAACGAAAAAACCAATAAAAATGAGGAGTACTGACGGGGAAACAACTAGACAAATGACTGATAAACAAAAAAAGGGCAGCAGGAGTTAGAACTTTTACTCTGCTGATAGTACAGATAGTACAGTGATAGTCATATAAAACTGGTACACTTTTTTTCCCAATGTAAACCTGTGTTCAGACTTGGTTCGTAAATCAATTCGTTGTTGCCATCACAGATAACGGAATTGCACTAAATCAAAATAAAAAAAGAACTATAAAAAATATTAAAAGTTTTTATATAGGTATTATTATTATCATTAACAACAAAAAGCGCTATCTAATCAGTTTAATAACCAGAGAGAGAATTGCGTTAATGTCCAAAATGTTTAAAGGATCTTTAAATGTAGGATAGTGGCACAGGGAACATTGAAATGCATCTACTGTAATTTTTCCTTTTAGCTGATTTGATACAATATTTCTTTGAACTGGCAACCCTAGGCAACCGTTGCCCTAGAAATTAGAATGACATATGTGATAAGATTGACTTACAAACTTGAAAAACACGATTTTCGGTTATAAGAGTTGTACTAGTTTTTTATGACGCGAAGGGTACAAGTGTGACAGGCTATAAAGGAAGAGAGATGGACAAAAAAATAACTTAATCATGAAAAAAATAGTATATAAACCCCAGTTGAGATATACCAGGTGCAGGTGAAATGAGATAAAACATTCTATATACGTTATTTTATTGTATAAAAATATTGTAAAAATTTGCTTCATCATCATCATAAGTAGCTCGACCACCCTTTCCCTGGCTTTTTCTAGTATTTTCCGCCATTCTGTTTTGTTCCTTGCTTTGTTTTGCCAGTTGGTAATCTTAAATGTTTTCAGATCTTGTTCCACTTGTTCCATGTATCTATGTTTGGGTCTTCCATTTAACCTTATCCCTACTGGTGTTTGTCTCATTTTATATTTTGGTGTTTCAGTCTCCAACATCCGTTCAACATGGCCCATCTAGCGCAGACGTCCCATCTTTATGGATGTTATGACCTCGGGTTCATTGTATGCTGTGTATAATTCAAAATTATATCTTCTGTGCACATTAGTCATTTTCTTTCACCCCCTTATATATGTGTCTAAGGATTTTCCGTTCAAACGTACCTAATAGGTTCTCATCGCTTTTCGACAGTCTCCATGTCTCTGATCCATATACAAGGACCGGTTTTATCAGGGTTTTGTATATTTTACATGTGGTTTTTCTTGTGATGTGGTTAGATCTTAGATGTTTAATTAGTCCATTATATGTTTTATTGGTGATATGTATTCTTCTCTTTACTTCTTCACTGGTATTGTTATCTGCGGTAACTAGTGAACCTAGATATGTAAAATTTTTCATGATTTCAATGTTATAGTCTCCTATTGTCAGATTCTGTAATTATTCAAAAATTTGCTTGGTTAATATATAATGTAAATAGTTTTTTTTATATAATTTCACCTTTTTGTTAATATTAAAAATAAACGAAACACAGATAGAAAAATATGAGTGGTAGTTGATGGGGAAGGAAGTTATAACTACAACAAACCTAAGTGATTTATATAAATAAAGATTTGGGAACAAATGCTTTAGGTCGATGAGTAATTATAGGCCCTCACGTGTATTCGGAGGTTTAAAACAATAAATTATTGTTTATTGTGTAATAAAACCGGTCAATAATAATAGTATAATTAGTAGTGACTATGATCCCATTTCAAGGAATATTACATTTACAACCGATAAATTAGTAAACAATGTTTTGATTTAAATAACTTTAGTTTCGTGAAACTGGGGTAAGAAAGTTTTAATTTTTAATATAATAATTTATATGAAAACTCAGGTGTATCATCATCATCATCCAGTCTTCATTTATCATGGCCACTGCTGGACATAGGCCTTCCTAGGGGTGGTGGAGGATGGGAAAACTCAGGTTACAGAATTTAATTAGCAAAACAAAAAAAAAATATTATGTATAATCTGTTATTAGGGCAACTAACTTATGTATACAGATAACGACATTGTTTCGTTGACCATAAAAACTAAGATTCATTGCAATCACATCTCTAGAGTACATTTATTAAAATGCTCTAAAACTAATTTGTTGGTTATTTTTTAGCCTTAATAGGAATACAAATAAATAAGTAAGTAAATAATAATATGCTTTATTGTCACTAAAAATTGTACAATTTTTTTTTGAATAAAGCTTATAACAATAAGACAAGAAAGAAGAAAAAAAGCAGAATAAGAATCGTTTGTACTTTGAAATAAAAAAAAAACAATAAAACTCTTCCAAACTTAAACATAAAAAATACTACCTAATTAAGAACCTACAAACATAAAATGTACCTAACAAAAAATAAAAATCTGATAAAAAAACTAAAAAAAAGGAAAGCTGATTACTGAATTAAGCACTCAAATATTTCATCTCTTCAGATTTCTCCTCATATTTTGGAGTAGGGCTGGTGTAATGCTTGCAGAGAAATGAAGTATTTTTGACCTTAATTTGACTAGACTTGTGGCCCTTTCAAACTGATGGCTATAAATGTTTTCTTTAAGAAAACTCCAAAAAAAAGAAATCTTTAGGCGCTAAGTCGCAGGATCTAGCAGGCCATTTAATTGTCGATGCGCGCACACTACACGATATTTATTTGATGACGTTTTTTAATCCACAAAGGTTTGTTAGGTGGAGTACACAAAATCACAATAAGCAACACAGAACCACGTAGCAACACGGGGCGATGTACCTCGAGCAGTGTCAAAAAAAAACGCAACTGGTCCTCTGGTCGGTCGATAAAGATCGATGTGTGTGCGCGCGGTCATTTGATACTATACGCCTTGGAACGACGGCAACGACCACGGCAGCCGTGAATGCAGTGACATTCATCGATCGCCACACGACCATCACACGACATCGATGCCGTGCCGTTTGGCGATCGATGTGTGTGCCCGCTCACATTTGTTTCTTCGCGCCACCAAAGGAATTTGTTCGGTCAAACTTTTATCGACCGTCCAAATTATTTTTTCAGTTATTTTCAGTTATTCAGCGTACATTCTAATTTATTATTTCAACAATACATCCTTATTAATTTTCCCATTATTCTAAATATACTAAGTGACATAGAAATCCGAACACGCAGTTTAAATAATTTTATTTTAATAAAATTTTGTATAAGTACTTAATGAAGCATAATAAGTAAATGATTAAAATTTCAAAATGATTGCATTGCTTTAAAGCCCTTTTACCTTTAATAATGTGTGGATACACCCCGATGTGTTACGCATTCTCCAACGCACCTAGGCATGCTTATGACCAGGTGGTCAATGTCCTCTTGTGGTATCTCATTCCAGGCAACCACCAACTCCTCTCGAAGTGCTTGTAGAGTCTGATGAGGACGTTGCAAATTGAGCAATCTCCTACCCATCATATCCCACGCGTGCTCAATTGGGGATAAGTCGGGAGATCTTGGTGGCCATGCTTACAATGTGACATCATTATATTGAAAGAAGTCTATTGTGACTCTTGCAACATGTGGTCGGGAATTATCTTGTTGAAAAGTTGGATTTGCCAGGGTGTCAAGATAGGGTAAAAGGTGGGGTTCTAGAACTCATTGGATATAACGCTGCGCGTTCATGTTACCTCTGTTGAAGATTAAAGTTGACCTGTAACCATAAGCTATAGCACCCCAAACCATAACTCTAATAGTTTGATAAACATGTCTTTCAACAAAAAACTGTGGATTCCTCCTTTCACCACGTCGCCTTCAAGCCCTCGCTCGACCATCGTGCATGCCTAAACAAAATCGAGACTCGTCACTAAAGAAAATACTGTTCCATTCCTGATTCCATAGTGACCATTCTCTGCACCACTGAAGGCGGTTACTGCGGTGTTCTGGAGTTAAAGGGAGGACCCAGTGTGGTCGATATGAAAACAGGCTAAAACTACTCATTCGTCGGTAAACACTTCGCATGCCAATAGGTCTTCCGTGTTCTGCAAACCATTCATTTGCAATGGAGCTGGTAGTGGAGAAACGGTCTCTTAAGGCTTAAGGAGTTGTTGATTCATTTTGATTTTTCCATGTGTGTGTGTGTGTGTGTGTGAGAGAGAGAGAGAGAGAGAGAGAGAGAGAGAGAGAGAGAGAGAGATGGCATTAGACAAAAAACCTTTTTGCCACAGAAAAGAAGATTTTTCCGTGGTTGATAATAAAATGTTTTCACTTGCATAAATGCATATTCTGTTGTTGGATAGCCTTGAACAGAAAATAATACTGATTGGTCGAATGTCGAAGGCTTAAACTGTAAAGGTAATCTTCAATTTTTGGTATTTCAATTGCATCAAATCCGATTACTTGATTTCTTGATAAAAAAACATTAGCTGTTGTTTGTCTGATTACGGAAGAGTAACGTTTAGGTTGTAGAGATTGTTGAACTAAGTTGAGTTGACATAGATAAGGATGCCATCATGTGGTTACTAATATTTTGTACGCAATAATATTAATTACATATACATTATTAATAATTACATATATTTAAATAGACTCAGCTTACCAATGTTTATCGTTAAAATACACATTCACAAAACACCTTTTTAACTTTTGCAAAAAACAAAAAAATTATTAATTAGGATATAACATGCTTACTAAACTGTTCTAATAAGACTCCAAAGCCTACTTTACTATCCCAAGTTTGATTTAGAAAATCAAATATAAAAGAACATGTTTTCTCCTTATGAATAAAAAGCTTTTAATAATTTAGTGTCCTGGACTATTCTGATACAATGCATTGTTCAGAATATATCATGTTTACTATGATCATCTGCAGTAAGTGCAACTACGTGAGGTACATCTGCATTAGTTGATACCATTTCGACAACATAAATTATTCCTAATGAGTCAATAAATCAATTTTGAACGTAATTCGGTAAATTAAACAATTTACCATATAAATGCTCTAGTTTCGATACAGATATTTCTGTATTGTTTAATTTTAGAGAATTTTGTGTAACCCATTACAATATTTCATGATCTTTTAATGATAATTAATTATTATCTACGAATGTATTTGTATTAATTTATATAATAAACTATACCACTGTTAGAGTATTTAAAACTATCTATATCTTTTCCTGAGCGTTTGCTTCATTTAATTTTTCTTACAAATTTATTCGCGATTTTGATTTGTGTTTATTTTCGCATTAGTCATTCTGTTAACGACTGATTTTAGAATTTTAAGTTTTTGTACTGTTACAATTCTTTAAAACAACTTTTTCTGCGGCCGTTCCGAAAATGAAACTTTCGGTATGATTTATTAAATCATAAAGTACCATTTTACACAACCCGTACCGAAAGTGGCTACTTTCAGGACTAATTTTTTCACTTTCGGGACAATTTTGGGTAGCTAGGTAACGGCTTTGAATATCAACTTTGTATTTTATTATGACAACGCTTGTCATTTAAGATTTGTGTGTTTTCATTCTTTAATTCCAAGAAATGGAAATCAGCAGTGAAAGTGACGCCGAAATGATCCCAGATGAAATTAGGGAAGCTGCTAGCGCCGCAATATATGAACTATTGCCGGTAAAGTCAAGAAAGAGGTATGAATTGGTCTACGATTTATTTTAAAAATGGAGCAATGATAAAAAGGACATCTATAAATGAAGAAGTCATTCTTGCATATCTAACAAAAAAATCTAATATCTTGAAGCCATTAAACCTTTGTAGCAATTAGTCGATGCTTAAGTTCACACTTATCATTAAAAATAATATAGATATAAGCCACTATCCAAAAGTTATTGCTTTCTTTAAAAGAAAATCCATCGGCTGGAACCAAAAAATCGAAAGTATTGAATAAAGAAGAAATAGATCAATTTTTATCAGAAGCTGAAGATAAGATCTACTTAATGACAAAGGTATAATTAAATGTAACAATAAAGCACTGAAAACTTTGTTTTCAAACTTCCACAAAATTTATTTTAAATCTTATCACTACAGCTGTTTCGGCTGATAGCCTTTCTCAAGTGATCTAGTTTTGGCTTGGGTTTACAAATTTATAGTCTCTAAGGAAATAGGTTGAGGAGGGGAGAACTGTTTGTCTCAAGTTGGTCATTCAGAATTATATCTGTTTTTTTAATTTGTTGATTTCCATAGATTCTAACAAAGATAGGTTACAAAAATGGAAGGTGAACTATACAACCTATTGATATGCACACTTTTATAAAAATTGCCGGCACTATTGCTGAATTTTTTAAATCACCGCATCCCAAAGAGTACACCGGGCACTGTCTACGAAGGAGCTCAGCCACTTTACTGGCTAATAGTGGTGGTACTATAACGAACTTGAAAAAACACGGAGAATGGAAATCAACTATAGTGTATTTTTATGTATGAGAGAGTAATAAAACAATACATTATGTATGCAAATCCCTAAACTGTTGATACGGGTTACCCAATGAAAAACAGATATTTGTCAACAAGTTTACAGAAGTATATAGGAAAACAATTTTAAATTGAGTATGACCACCAGATATAAAGGTTGGAGCAGAATAGAATACGATACTTGTGAGGGTTACTAATCCCTAAATAAGGTTGCCAGTGTCGGAGTGATGGAGGTTAACAGGTACTAATGAATTTGCAAGAAATGTAAGATGTTTATTTTATTGGTTATATATATATATAACCAATAAAAGTTTAATAAGTACCTACCTATTTGCAAAATAAAGTTTAATTCTTTAGATAAAATAAAACGTTTTATTTTATCTGAAATGAGTGCATTCCACGAAATAAGGGTTTCAACAATCAAACATTTAATCCTTTAATTCCAGGAATCTACGACAGTAATTGACTAAATAATTACCTTCTAAACTTATTCCACAGAAAATGTGATAGTGGGTTTTTCCATTTTCTAGAAAGGTCCAAGTGGCGTATTCAAAATTCTTAACAGTTCACTAAAGTAGGTACTTCAGTTGCAAGGTGCAGTTTATTGTGTATACTAGTGTTGGAAAATTTGGAAGTGCCGTGTAAACGCCGAAAAATTGGTCCTTTAACAGTTAATGAAAAAACATTAATATTTAATTGTTTTAAATCATTTACAGACAAACGTTTATGTGAAAGTGTTGATGAGACCGTTGAGTTAGTTAGCAGTATACTTGGTGTTGCGAAATCTACGATTTACAGAGTTATTAAAGAAGAGAAATGTAGTAGTTTTCAAATGCCACGTAATGCTCCAGGGAAACCAAAATTTCAAATAGAATATTATTTTAAAGAAGGACTTCGACGGAAAGTGCATGAATTCTTCTTTAGACAAGAATTTCCAACATTGGATAAAGTTCTTGTCTCAGTTCGAGATGATAAGGATTACCCAGAAATGAGTCGCAGTACGTTATGGAAACTTTTAAAAGAAATAGGCTTCCGCTGGAAAAAGAATCACAGAAAGTCTATTTTATTAGAAAGAAGCGATATTGTCATATGGAGAAGACATTTTCTAAGAACCATAAAGGAAATGAGAAACCAAAAAAGAAAAATATTTTATCTTGATGAAACATGGATCAACGAGGGTCATACACCAAATAAATTTTGGCAGGATGAAACTGTTACAAGTCAAAGGCACGCTTTTGTAAATAACTTATCTACTGGTTTAAACCCACCATCAGGAAAGGGACGCAGGCTGATAATAGTACACATTGGCAGTTCAGACGGTTTTGTTGAAGGTGGTGTATTAACTTTTGAATCAACTCGTACCGGTGACTACCATGAAGACATGAACGCTGATGTCTTTCAAGAATAGTTCGAACAAATGATAGATCTTCTTCCTAAGAACTGTGTAATAGTAATGGATAATGCAATTTATCACTCCAGACTTATAGAAGGACTGCCCACAACCAAGTGGTTAAAAAAAGACTCACAGAATTGGCTGAGTTCAAAAAATATTACGTACCATCCCTGATCTATAAGAAAGGAGCTTTATTCGTTGTGTGCCCTTCATAAAGAAAAATTTAAAAAATACGAAATTGATGAAATTGCCAAAAATCGTGGAATGACAGTACTTAGATCCCCACCATATCATTGTGAATTAAACCCGATTGAACTGGTATGGGCCCAGATAAAGAGTGAAGTTTCAAGAAAAAATACCACTTTTAAAATTCATGATGTTAAACAGTTGTATTTGGAGGCCGTAAATAATGTAAAACCTAAAAACTGGGAAAAGGCAGTAAATCACACTATTAAAGAAGAGGAAAAAATGTGGAAGCTGGACAATATTACTGATAAAATCATCGAGCCAGTTATTAAAAATCTTGGTTCTGAAAGTTCATCTTCTGAATCTGATTTGGATTTGTAACAAGTAGCTGTAAGTTTTATATTAATATTTTTATTAATCTATTTAACATACCTTAGACGGTTTTAAAAACTCCTTTTCTCTTTTGTAATTTTTAAAAATAAAAAAAAAATGTGAATTTTTTAAAACCCTTTTTAATGTAGGCCAGTCAGTTCTAATATAGTGTGTGATAAAAGAGGTCACTTTTGTTTACATACAAATAACACTTTATAACACTCAAATAATTCATTAATTTTTTACAATTATTCAAAGTAATTTTTCAATTAATCTTGAGCACGCCCATGGAGTGGTCGGAGGTACCAGTTAAAATTATGCTAATTACTCTCTCGTTCATAAAAATAAACTATAATGGGAGATAAGAAGAAAATTCTTTAAGAAATAAAATTCACATACTTTTACAGATTGAAAATGACTGCAATCAAGTTCTTATTTTCTCAACTGTCTGTGATAGTCTCAAAAAATAGTAAAAGTACTGACACGTCTAACACTAATTTCAATACTGCCACTTCTGATAATATTTCTAACAATAATAATTGTTATAATTGTGTTATTAATATTCAAAACTATATTTTTTTAATGCTGAATTCACCAGAGTAACTTTAAATTGTTTAATAAACGCTTATAAGTAAAGTTTATCCAGATATTTTATTTAACATACAAAACAGCTGCAGAAAAAATATTGTACGTAACACGATCCAAAAGTAATTTTACGAGACTAACAGGATTCCAGGAAACTTCGTACTCGTCTCGTAAAATATCACTTTCGGAAATTGTTACGTAAATTGCCATTTTCAACCCAACTTGTTTTCATTGTACAATTCTTTAACACAATGACAACTATAAACTTAAAAATACTATCATTTAAACTATCAACAACATCTGTGTATATACATTTTCTGACATTCCAGGCATTACTAGACATTTCGGTATTTTTAAATGACGTCTTGAAAATTCTATATATTATATTTTATAAGCGAGGTTCCTACAGCCTCTGCCGCTTCTCGCAATTCGACTGCCATCGTTTTCTGTCCACCCATTTGTCTTCCTTGATGGCTCTATCTCTTATTATGTGCCGTATATTTTCTTCCCAGATAATTGAAGGCCTTCCCCTTCTTCTTTGTTGTGGTATATAATTTAAAGCTTTCTTTGGCCATCTATCTTCATTCATTCACTTCACGTGACCATACTACACTAGTTGTCTCGTTTTAATTCTGTCTACACTGGAATATACAGTATTTCTCCTCCTTCTAATATTTTCATTCCTGATATGATCTTTTGTGGATAAGACTCTCCTTAGAAAATCCATTTCTACTACTTCTATTCTTTTTCTATCTTTTTTCGTGATCTGCCAAACTTCTGTCCCATAAGTCATAATAGGCTCTACCACGGTTCGATAGATTATTAATTTCGTTTCTTGTCCAATATCTTTAAACCATAGTAGAGAGTTTAGAATGTTTACCGCTTTTTTCCCTGCTGAGTTCTGTTTTTGATATCTCTTTTGGTAGTGCCTTCTTTAGATATTATAGATCCAAGATATTTATATTCATTGTATGTTTTTGTGTTTCTAATTTCTAACTCTGGATCTTCTTCATCATCTTCTATTTGAAGGTACTATGTCTTTGACATATTCATATTGAGGCCCCATTTTTAATATTCTTTCTTTAGTTTTCTAAACATG